TATATACTACTACTAGTAGTATGTATATAGTATATATATATATATATATATATATATATATATATATATATATATATATATATATATATATGTATGTATGTATGTATGTATGTATGTATATGTATATGTATATGTATATGTATATATATATATATGTGTGTGTGTGTGTGGATGTGGGTGGGTGTGGGTGTGTATGTGGACACGTTTATATTTATATGCATAAAGCAAATACTGTTCTGAATGCACATGATTATATATATATACGAATATATGAATACGCCTTTATATTTATGCATAATTTTACTATTGTTTCTGATACTTTTATTGGCTGGCCGAAAAATATCGTTATTGTTTGGAATATCTGTATATGCATAGATATTGTCTTCATGTACACTTGTAGGGATATCCTCTAAATAGCACACGCCAGGAGCCCTATTCTCAATTTTCCCACGTGCTGCAGAAACAGGAACAGACACAGACATTCAAACAGAGACGGAGGGGGAGTATGGGCTCCTTTCGGAGGGGAGTGAGTTCGAATGGGACGGTGACATCGACGACAGTGAAAGTTCAGCTAAACCAAAATATCTGATCAAAGATCGGGGTCTCCTGATGCCGAAGCCCCAGAAATTGTCACAGGAGGTGAGTAGCTTGAAACGTATATGATTGAGTCACGAGTGTGTAAGACTTCTGACTAGGTGTAGGATGTATCCGTGGAGTGCCCCATGCATTGTATCTGATGAACAGTTCTAGTGGGTGTGCCATATGTTCAGGGACTATCACGAGACGTGAGTCTTAAATTATGTGTATTGTTTATTCAGACGTAGCTATATATGATTGTAGGTACGCGGAGATAATTCAATACATTACATATGTCTGGTTTATAGGTGTGAAGGGATTTATTGTGTATTGTTTATTCAGGCGTAGCTATATATGATTGTAGGTACGAGGAGGTATTTCAATACATTACATATGTCTGGCTTATAAGTGTGAAGGGATTCATTGTGTATTGTGTGACGTTTCTTGTTGGTCTAATTCAAGGGTGTATACTTGAAGTTGGTTGTGTTACACTTTAGTGTGCATAACGCGCAAGACACCCGTACAAGTACTAGTGTAAAGTGATGCACTCAACGGCTTTCGCTACTAAACTTCGCACTAAACAAAAAAACTCTAGACTTTAAATCATAAATCCTAAACCGTAAACCCCCAATCCTAAACCTAACAGGCTAAGTTTCGAGGACGGCGGCGGAAGACTAAAGTCTCTACAACTCAGCTAGATGAATTTCTGAGCGATGCGGAAGCCAAGAAATACGACTATTATCATCAGCAATCAAACGATCTTTCTACTGCGGTATGTACCTGATGTGATTGTACATATATATATATATATATATGTGTGTGTCTGTGTCTGTGTCTGTGTCTGTGTCTGTGTCTGTGCCTGTGCCTGTGTCTGTGTCTGTGTCTGTGTGTGTGTATGTATATATATGTATATATGTATATATGTATATATGTATATACATATA